AGCACGTGCACGGGTATTGTCCTTCCATATGTCAGCATATTGCCAAGACATGAAACAGTCCATGTGTGTTCATACAGGTATATGTCCATTCTTCAGCGGGGGGTTCGATCTGAATGGTCTCAAACTGGAGGCAACCTAATAGCGATGGCCTCCAACCTAATAGTTATTTTTGTTGAATCGTTCTTCCTTGTCTTTTTGTTTCTTTCTAATAGCGATGGTCTCCACCTAATAGCGATGAACATCCAATGTGTCTCGCCCACCAGGTTTCGATTCTGACCAGCTCTGCAACTCCAGGATGAGCCGAGTGACGAAGACTCCGGTGACGAGTCCGGGCGCAGAGGAAAATGGGAACAAATAGAGGAAGGTCTCAATGTTGGATAAACCATGGCAAGAGATACACAGTCATGTTAGACATCTAGCTGCATCTCTACCCTCCTAGATCATTCTTTTGGAGAACACTTTAGCAAAAGACAACCCCCAACCTCGGGCCGCCATGTCTTTTCTCCTGCTCAAAAGCTGGTGGCCATAGCCAAAAAGGGTTTGTGGAAGGGTGGAATGGATTGGCTGGTCGCAAGTCGAAGGTGTCGACGAGGACGTATCCAACGTGTCCGACGTGTTCCCGTCCGACACCCGCAGAGTACAGAGATTCAAACTCAGCAGTCAGGCACGATTGGCGATCAGCAGGGGTTGCACAACTTGACGAGCCCTCAGAGCCTCTATCCTTTTCCCCTTAAATGGATAGCCTTCTATCAATCGTTTCCCATGTTAGCGAGTCGGAGAGTCTAATTTATTGCGATCAAACTCAGAGCACTCCCGCAACAGCCCTGCCTGTCGCGCGCGGTAAACCCCCTGCCTGCTGCAGTACGCTCAGCGACATTTCCCATTGTTCATGGCGTCGACCTTTAGCCACCAAGTCGCGTTCAAGCAACTTTATCCACACCTTAAAATATATCTATATATATATATCCCATGACTAGGCCCAGTGCATTATGGTTAGGTTGCAGACCTTTCCCCAGCGATTCATCTTTTGCTCGACAGGTGGTCCCTGGGACACACGCTCCGACGGTCGCAGCAAACGCTCGCTTGTGTGGCAGCCAGCGGTGTGGGTGAGGGTCGAAGGACGCTTTCCAAAAAAGGAACCAAATGGTGTCCAATTCCCAGGAAAACACCAATTATACACACTGGCAAGATGGAGAAAAAAAACGGAGCAAAGATTCCCTAAAAATCTAGGAACCAAAGCACTAGCATGAGCTAGCCTGCGTCCTACCTAGAAGCTAACTTAGCCGCCCCTACTTATATAATTAAGTATAGGTGCCCACTTAGTTAAGTAAGGCCGAAGGGCCACCGGCTTTAACAAAATACATAAACGAAAACCCGTCTTTTTGGAACCATATCCATACAAAGGACCCTCTGATCGTGTATGATTTGATGTTTGGACCCGACAAAGTCTGTGCTTTTGGGAAACCGCCCAAAAAGAGCTCAGGTGAGATCCGCGCGTTTTGGTGAGGCCTGGGGAACTGGAACCGGCTGGAACTGGTAGACTTCGGAGCTTCCAAACTCCTAACTCCGAAGCTTCAGAAGCTGAGTGTTTGGTCCCAGGACGAATGAGTCGCTGACATCCGAAGACCGTTTTGGTCGTTGCTCCGGGTCCGGTGGGTTGTCTACCACCGCTCCGTCGTCCGGTCGGTGCGGTGCATGAGCTGATCAATGAATGCATGCGCTCCTCCTCTTTCGGTGGTGTACCTCCCGGACCTGGAAAGAGGAGACTACGTGGTGGTGCTCTGACGGGTTTCGTCGGTGTTTCACGGTTTTCACCTCTGGGGCACCACAAGGAACGAACAAAGAGCGAACAGCGCTGCTCCGATTTCGGGCGGGGCGTCCCACAGGTTCGCCCCACCCACACGCCTCTCGCGGTTGAATCGACGACCGAGCCTATATTGAAACAATAAAAAACCAGAGTGGATGGATAAAAACACTGTTTTACCTGGATCGTCCAAGTTTCAGTAGGCAAAATGCTTGCTTTCTGGCTGGTTTTTGCAAATATGTTGCATAATTGGAAGATCCTGGTATCGGCCCCCCATCTACAAGACATTTTGGGGGTTGTGCCATCCACATCATCCACTCTGAACTCATGCAATAACCCAAAAGGACCAAGCACAGTTCCTCCTCCTTCCGCTGAAGCTTTGGTCGGCACCTCTCGGTCCCAACCCTCCTGCTTGTGGAATGGGTGGAATCCGCGCCGCGCGGCATCCCACGCCGCCAGGGGGATGGGATGTCCCATTGGAAACCAACATCTGACCTTTGACAAAGAAACATGCCGAAAACACTTGAAACCTTCGTTTTTGTTACGATAATCGAGGACGTCCGCACGGATTGTGAACAGTTTTGGCCCACCCGCACTTTCTTGTGAACAGGGCTTCCGGGCACAGATTGATGCCATGGACGTAGCTGGCTTCCTCAACCCGCTAAAAGGCGGGCCGGCAAGGAAGTCAAGACAGCGATACATACGGGTCGCAGGTTCTGCGCCAAAGGTTTTTTACAGGAAGGCCGTCATCCCAGTCATCCCAGTGTGCTTTGACGCTCCAGTGGAATCAGTTGAGTCCTGGATTTCCATGGTTTTCCCATGCTCTTCCAGCTCATTGGGTGTTGTTCATATTGGTGGCACCGCTCTAAAACGGATGCGTCTTCACACATATGCTTTTTATGTCCCATCTTTAACATGATCGCCGGAGACCTGCGCGGTACACTCTGTCAGGTTGGAAGCTGGATGTCGCTTCTAGCAGCTAGCAGCTAGCACTTGGCGATGTCGCTTGCGGCTCCGTTTCGCCCTTCACCGAGAAGAAGTGGCGATGTCCAGTGGATCGGAGTCTGAGAGATGCTCTGTACCTCCGGTATCCGGTGACGTTCCCACGGTGACGTTGGATCTCCCTCGTTCTCCTCGTTTTGAGGCATACATGGGATACCTCTGCCTGGTACTTTCGTGTCTCCTTGTCTCTTGATCCACACAAAGAATGTATGGCAAAACTGCTTCGCGCCAACGGTCAGGCTGCGTGATTTATTCTTTTTTTTGCAAGCTCCACCGGCTCCAGCCGTCTCCACCTGTATATCTTCGTCGGATGCCGGCTCGCATGAAACATGTTTCCGCGCTACCCGCAGAATGCGATGCTTGCTCCTCACATCAGCGGGAGATCCTTTTGCGACCTTCTGTGTCTTGTTATGCACCATGGGAAAAAAGGATTACTCTTGCAAAACCCTTGATGTCGCTAAGGCACACACCACCTTTCGACCCCGGCTATTGACTACTTGATTCCTCTGTTTCAGGCTACATCCATAACATGAACATTTGCTTGGTCACACCAGAAAAAATAGCTTTAAACATAATAAACTAAATAAATAAACAAACAAAAATCCACAGAGGATACACTCGGATACACTCCCGAAAACTAACATGGACCCTGAGAATGGTGCCCTCAAAGACTGTTTTCCTCTACAAACCAGTGGTTTTCAGGGTCTATGTGAGTTTTCAGTGGGGTAAGCTCTTTTGAAGACCCTGCTCCATCAATTCTGACCAAAGGTCACTCACTCACTCGGTCCGCCGCTGCCGCCACAGGCCGCTTGGAGGAGGTGGGCACCAAAATCCATAAGGATTCCATCCCCCTCCCAAGGACGTCTTCTTTTGGTGGACCAAGAACTCCCAAGGACGTCTTCGCCCCATGCGCGAACCCCCTGTCTTTTCGACCTCTGGACCTCAGTCCCTACCGCTCTGGTCCAGGCTCCCCGGCGCTCAGGGCGACGTGCTCCTGCAACGCCTGGGCCAAGAAGTCCAGGCCTTCCGCCTCGGCGACACCGGCGGAGCACACGCCGCGCGCCGCGCCGCGGAAGCGCAGCGCGCTCCGCTTCTCGCGGAAGCGGCGGAACCCGAACCAGAGCCCAACCCAAGGGGAACTCTCCGGACAGCGGTCCTCTCTGGACCCTCGCGGAAGAAAAGTCGAGAAAAAAGAAAAAAGAGAACTTCACTCGTTGGCTCCGGAGCGCCACGTCCAAGCGTTGACTCGCCGCCAGGAGGGCATCAAAGGCCTCACGACGACGGTCGATCCCGGCGGGTCGGTCACGAAGTGGTTCGGTCCAAAAGGGTCACACTAGGACCCACAAGGGGTGGTCAATGGACACCCCTTAACAGCTAAGGTGCTTTTAATAGACACCCTCAAAAGGTCATTGGGAAGGTCCTGGTAGTAGGTCGGAGGTCATTGACAAAGGTGGTTGGGGGGGAACATGTTGGTTTCAGCATGGCTGCGCTCCCTTCAAAGAATCGTAGACCTCTATGGAGTTCTGCGTTCGCTCGCCCGGCTCTCGTGCGGAACGAGTCAAAGCTCGGACGGCATCACATGATCGAAACATCAAGCCCTACCGAGATGGAAAGCTCCAAAAGCACGGTGGAACCCTGGTAGGGTGCCCCACCGAACTGGAAGCCTTACACTGACTGGATATAGATGAATATGTTATTTGTTGGTAGAAACGAGGCCGCGAGGCCTTTGCGTCGATGGAGCTTGGAGCCATGGCCAAAGCCTTCTTGAGCGCCTGGAGCCGTATCAGCGACCAGAGCTGAGGAGGGTGAGCATGGCGCAATTGAGAATGGTGCGTTGCCAAAGAATCTAAGAAGGACATTAAAAGATTTTTTCTGTATATACCTAGGGACCATTTGACCTCAGTTTTTTGACACGAAAGGACTATTTTGGGAGTGGTTGATGGTCCAAACTAGAGGTCACTCGGGCTCTGCTATAGAGTGTCTTTAATCATCTTAGTGTTTTCGCTGCTGTGTTGGGCTGGGTGTTTCATGTGGCTAAATGCGTGCAGCGAAGAAACTTGAAACGGTCGTCTTTTCTCTGCAAGCTCAAAATCAAAGAAGACTCGGGCAGGCAGAAAGAAAAATCAACCGCGTCACCTTGTTTCTTAGACCAAAGGTGTCTTGTTTCCCTGCATTATGGGCCCCAAGTTCAATTAAATAGATGTTCTTCAAGAAGTGTTCTTCGACTCTTTCATCCTCTTCTCTGAATGTCCATGGCCTAGGGCCGCCTAGGGCCTAAACCCACTCAGCCTTTGATGCTCAACTCGCCGGGCTCCCACCATGCTCGACTCGCCTCCGCTTGCTGCGCGCGATCCACGGGAAGTTGCTCCACCGCATGGATCACCGTCCCAAAGCACGGCCTCGCCAACGCGCGCGCATGCGGGCGCGGACGGGAACAAAGCGGTGCGCAACGCGGCTGGACCAAGCGCCGAGTCATGTTTTCGTCCGGTTCAGTCCCGCTTCGAGTTAGAGGCCTGGGTCTTGCCCAGCTATCGTGCCAGGGCTCTGTGCCGATGTGCCAAACGGATGTTTTGGTAGGCCATGGGCCATGACTATGCATGAGCAACCCAAGACTAGGCCAGGGGCAGTGTCAGCCAAGTGGCACAGGGGAGTCATCCTGCATTTAGCGGAGATGGAGGTCTTTCTTTGGGCATTTTCCACAAAGAAGAGGAACGACTTGTTTGAAAGAACCAACATCTCTCCGATGCCCCTCACTGGCTTTGACGGGTGTTCCGAAGCACTTGACCCAGACTAACGAACGTGACGAACATCATCCTTACTACTTGACGTTGAGTGTTTGGCTTCCTTGACAGATCACCAACATTGTGGTTGTCTTTAATTTGCTTTTGTCTTGCCGATTGGACAAGAATGTTGCTGCTGCTGTGCAGGAACTGCGTTCTGCGTTCTGCTTGCAAGTGGCAGGCCGGAACAAATGATGGGTCCAACCTTTCCAAAGGTTTGTGTGCCGACTGTACAGGAAGCAAGGAGTCAGCTAGACCCTTCATACACGCACAGGAATTCAACATGCGCCAAGTCTGCATCTTCGAGTAGAAATCGTCCAAATGGAGAGGGATGGGTTTAGGGTTTAGGGAGCATCAAAACCGATCAAAACCACGGTTTGGGGGATGATGCGGATCTGTCCGCTCCGCTCTCCAAATCCGCAAGCGGATGCTCACATCCCATTCCCCTCGGGCATCCACCCGGGACCTGGGGATTCACCCAGACCCACACATGACTGGAAGATATGCCACCAAAACCATGGTAAGATATGCCACCCAGAAGATTTGCCACCCAGACATGGGAAAAAAAAAAACAACCAAGCTCTTCAGCTGAGGAGATCGGCAGCCATGGCATCTGGGAGGGGGCCCAACATCGAACATCACCCGATCCGGTTTTTTCAACGTGGAAGGCATCCCGTTCCACCAACCCACCGCACCGCACCGCACCGCAGCAACCCGCAGGCAACCCGCACCGCACCGCAGCACAGTTGGGATCTGATTCTGAGCGTCCCAAACGCGTCTGGCTCAAGCCGTACCCGTCCCATCTGCAGCAGCAAGTCCAACGCCTGACTCAAGCTTCCGTCGGTCAATTGGGCTCGCTCCCTGGCTCGGAACATGAGTCCAGGAACCCACAAGCTTCGACTCGAGATAGGGACATGATTCCAGTATCCAGGATCCAGGTTGAAGCCGCAGCTTCGACTCATTGCAATTCCATTGGCCAGTCAGATTTGGGGAGAGTTCGTTCAACCTGGAGCCCTGGTCTATGGCGAACGACCGACACCGGTCGGTCGCTCGTGCCCTTTGTCGGTCTCCTGGTGCCATGACCAGACGTGAAGCTGACTCTGACGGATGCATTCCAAGGAGACATGAGACAAACTGTTTTGGACCCCCAAATAGATAGAAAAGTAGATCCTTACTAAAGATGTGTTGGAAACCGTGCCACTATCAATTTGGGCTTCCCACAGACTACACCACCTGGAGACAATGATGTGGCAAGTTCCAGACCCCGCAGAGACCATCACGGTTTCGGGACTGGTTTGACCAGCTTCGAAAGGACCCTTTTGTGCCCTTGTTACTATAGTAGCTTCTTGTTACTAGTAGTAAGGCCAGGAGCGCCCCTAGTAGCGTCCGATCGCTCCGTTTGTAGCGATACCCTTTGTTCCTAGTAGCTTCGAAAGGACCCTTTTCCAATGAAGCTTTCCCTGCAAGGAACCCGGAAAGGAAATTAGAGTGAACCTGTTCGTTCGGGGGTTCTCACCAAAAGCCCCTGGAACCAGTCGAATGTACTGTACCCCGACCAGTCACGGCCTTTTAGGGCAGAATTCCTCTGACCGAAGGATCTGCAGGTCCGGATGTGATGCCCAGATTCAGCTCTCGAAATCGACCCGTTGGCACGTCGGCCACATCGACATCAGATGTGGTAGAAAAATCAGTGTTCTTTCCTTTCACGTCTTTGTTCATTGGAGCAGCGTGCATGATTGGTCAACCTCAGAACCTCCAAGATCCGGACCAACGAGTCTGAGGTATCAAGACCAGTCCGCGCGGTCTCGAGAGCTTCGTGGTTTAGACGGACCGATGGTGCAAGGACCCCAAGTTGGGTGGTTTATATAATATAGATGGAGGAGTTCTACTACATTTTGGAGGGTCGGTTGTGCCATCTACTCTGAAACCACTGCAATGCTCCTGCCAGATCTTCTGATCATTTTGCATCAGGATGTCCTACCATTTTGCTTCCTCCTGGCGCTGGATTTCTTCGTCCACCAAATCACCAAATCGGGCTTTCCAGAGCCTCTTGAGACGTGATCCGCATCCATCAGAGAGGTTTCAAGTCACATCCGCTCAATCAGAGGGGTTCCTCGGGGTGGAGGTCGTCGGCAGAAGAAAGCTGAAGACCTCTGAAGAACGTCTCGAATCTCCGGTGGTGTGAAGGATCCCTGTGGAAATGTCGATCTCGACATCAGAATAGGAACCCACATGCTCGGTATGTTTTCATCTGAGGCAGATCTTGCAGTAGAAAAGATCATGTGAGAGCAAAGTCCATGTCTTCTTCCCTTGGGTTCCTGGTGGGCCCTGGATTTCATGTTTCGAATCCCAAACAACCGCCGTTTCACGTGTTCAGGTGTTTGGACTACAAAACCAGGCCAAGCACGGCTAAACATGCTAGGAAGCAAGGCGACCGGGCCCAAAGACTTGCCCATTTGCTTCCCAAACAGCTCCCTGGAGCAGCTCCCCGGCCTGAGACCCGGCTCCAGCTGTCAGACACCTGGGCACCCATGGCGACACGCGACACGCGACGTGCGGGAGACATCTGTGGGCGGGTGCGATACCCGGCTCTGGCCCAGGGGGTTGAGAGTAGAACGACGACTCGTCGTACAATACGCATGTAGAGGAAAATGGTCTTCCAAGGCGTCTTCTTTCATTTACATGATTGTTGAATATAAATGGTTTCTACTAGCAAACATTGCTCCTAGTAGTAAGGCACTTGTTACTCGTAGCGATGCACTTGAGATCTCCATGGCCTCGACCCGTCTTTCTGCCCGTGCCTTCTACCACCATCTCCGCAAGACGAGGGAGCGAACGAGATGGAAGACGTCTCATCGACCCACGGGTTTCGAAACCCTTTCATCGACCCACAACACCCCGGCATCGAGCCACAACACCCGTTCATTCACCAATGCGTGTGCACAATGCACTGTCTGCCCACTCGGCACCCCGGCGAGTGGATCACGATCTGAAAATCCGCGGCCTAGGACAGCTGTGCAGCACAGAAGAACCCCCAAGAAACGGAAGATCATCGAATACCTCATGTTTAAGAGGCACCTGAAATGGCATCCTAGAACCCAGGCACCTGAAGGGACGAAAAAGACTACCGGAAATGTGGCCTTTTCGTGGTTGTTCCATGTCACAAAAGGGTTGTGTTCGGGTTCAGTTCCCAATACTCCGAAGAACCAGAACACAGCGTCCAGAACACAGCGTCCTACAGTTTCTACCACAAACTCGAACGACCCTTCCAGTGGCACCGGCAAAAAATGCACCCGCTCGTTTTAGAACGAACTCCACGGAGGGCCGCGACCCCTGCTGAGTGAAACACTCAATGCACAGATCCCCCACAACATGCACAGATCCCAACGTGTTCTTGCGACAATCACAACTGGTTCTTGGGTTTTTTTTTCCGCATGTCCGTGTTCGACATCGACAGTGGTCCGTCTTCGACATTGGCCACTGATCACATGATCTCCCACTCAGTTCCCTCGATGTCCATTCGACGAGACCGCACCGTCTGAGACGCCTCCTCCACCGAGGTCTACCGAGTCGTCCAGCGGATGCGGCGCCTCCAGTTGCACGTGGGAGCCGTCCAGCTCCACCAGTGCCTCCGTGCCGGTGGGTGGCAGGGCGGCCGGACCGCACAAGGGAATACGGGGGTGAGAAGGTGCGAAAACCCCAGTGATCCATTTGGAGAATGGAGCAAACAACAATTCGGAGGGTTGTAATTCAATTTGATGGTCGTACCTGCTGTTGCAGAATCTATGTTTTTTCGTTCGAAACAACATGTGCGTGTGGGGTGGTCATCTACCTTCAGCGTCGTGAAATGTCAGATTTTTGTTGGAAACCAAGCCCTGCCTAAGCTGTCTGTGCCAGGGACCTTGGAAGTAGTGTGGGGTAGTCAGTAGCAATGGCCTGCAACCTAAGAGCGATGGCCTCCAACCTGATAGCAGCATGAGACTGCTTTTGTTTTTGTTGGGTGTCAAAGGTGGCATGCTGGTGATTCTTCTTCTCCAGTATTGAATGCTCCCACAAACACCAAAAAAACATAGACCCAGGTTCACCCATTTGTGGTCACCAGTCACCAGTCCCATGCAAATTCCCTAAAGTATACATGAAAAATCAAGTGGGACTGTGGGATCTCACGGGAATATGAACCAAATGCACCCATGGCATCCCCATGCCATCAGTCCCTTCGTTTTTGGCTCGAAAAAGACCAGTGTGGAACTTCGTGGTTCCTTCGTCCAACCACCGCGGACCGATCCAACAGCACGAGGATTCATAGTTTTCATCCCAGCAAAAATACATTCGCAAAACCGGGAAACGGTGTTTCCTGTGTCCGGGACGCGCTTCGACCGTGACTGAAGAGGACAAAGCCCGCCCTGCTTTGACCCTCCTTGCGTCAATCTTCCGTTTCCTGACGTGAAAATGCGGTGTTTCGACGTGCCGTGCCGCAATCACAATGCCAGCCTGCCCAACAGGAAAAGTCTGCCCACTTCAGGATGGTGCTGGGTTAGTGGCCCAGACTTCCTCTACAAATTGGATGTCATTATGCACGACTGCCACCAGCACTAGCCTGGTCGTAGAGAACCGTTTGTAGCTTTGAGACAAGGGATCGGTCGTCAATGGTAGGAAAAGCGAATCAATAGCTTAGATTAGACTCTGCCTTGACCCAGAAATGGTATAACAGTTGATGTTGATGATGATGATGATGATAGTGAATAGGTCTCTAAGCCTCTAAGCATCTCCAATCTTCCTGACACTCCAGTAACGAAGTGCCCTTCTTTTCCTCCACTTAGCCCCTCAGTTACTCTCCGGCCTCCTCCCAGCGACCTCCGCGCGCTGAAAACCGCCAGCGACGCTGGTCCTTCTGCTGCCATTTCCTCGGCGGAAGGACAGCGGAGCCGGACATCGCCCTTTCTTCGTTTCGGACATCATCACAACCAGCATACACCATACTACAACATGGATGGTCTGCTAGGCACACTGGCTTGGAAGGTTCCGAAAACTGTTAGTGGTCTACAGGTCTACCGCTTTCCGTGGCCCTGCCGCGCATGCTGGCCTTAAAACGCCAAGCTCGCGTTTTCGTTGAATGCGTCGGTGCTGAAATTGAAACTGGAAAGCTCATGACGGTGCGTGACAGAGTGGAAGTCTGCGGACATTGCGACCATCATCGAAAACGACCATATGATACATTTAATGGAATCAGTATCCCCTGTCAACTGACCTTTGCCATTGTTTCCGGCAAATTCACCACAGAGGTCTGTGGTCGACGCATTTGGACGACATTTCCCAAAGCAGAACTCATCTACTTGACGGTGGGTTGCAGACGTGAATTGAAGCATTAAATGACAATGAGGAGCTCTGGAGGCACAGCTTTCCATGGAGGCACACCAATGGCGCGCACGCCAAGCTGAAAGCTTGCGTTGGACAAATTGCAAACATCGGGGCCAGTGGCTCTCTTGAATGCCATGGAAGGTGAGCAGCATAGCAGCTCCACGGATTTCATAAGCCTTCTTCTACTTGGACTGGCGGACAGGCAACAGAACTCCTTGGCGGCCTTCATGCTGAGGTTTTCCACGCTCACTCTTTGCTTTGACCCAACGATCGCGAGCTGCTTGAAGCCTTTGCGCATCTTCAAGCCGTCCACCCTTGTCAGGGTGGACGTGCTTCACAACTTTGCGAAAGGCGGCGTTGACCAAGACATCTAAGTCTTCCCTCTTCAGCGCCAATCGCACACCATACTGTTGGGCAAGCGCAATGAGAAGCGTCACCAAAGCCCGCTTGGCAACTTGCACTGGACCAGCTGCCATGACTGATCTGCCGGAGTTCCCAAACACTGGCAACAATGGTGGAGTGAGCCACTGCGGAGTCCCCGGAGTCAAGAATCTGTGCAAATCACAATCGCGTTTTAAAATTACAATGTTATTCAATTAGCAGAGAGCGGACTCCGGACTGAAAGCATCGTCCTATATGGCATGAAACTGTGAGTTAAGAGTCTACGGGGTGAGGGGTCTGCCTGGCTTCTTTGCCAAAGTACCTAAGGCCCCCGTGCAAAGCAGCTTGTGGTCCACAGAGGTCAAGCCCGAAGCAGCCATGCTCCTTCAAAGCAAAGAAATCATTTGCTGGCAGAAAAGATCGCCACACCGAAACACACCGTGAAGGAGCAGGAGTTATACCTGATCAAGTCCAAACTGGAGCAAATTCGGTCAAGCAGGTTGACGCCAGCGAACAAAGCCCCCGGCGACCACAGGTCTGCGGATGGCCTCGGATGACGCTTCAGGGTTGTAGACAGGCGCTCTGGCGAGCCCTTTGCGCAACTAAGGGTGTAGCCGTTTTCGGTGTGTTCTTCTTTGCCTGCAAATGCAAAGCTTGCATTGACACTTGATATTGAAAAGCAATGTGTTTCGTTTTGTTTTAGGATGTAGATGCACGGTGGCACTTGTCCTAATCTTGCCTTGGTGGACGTTGCATGCTTCTTTTTCGGCCGTACCTCCCAAGCGCAAACGCAAACTTCCACCGGCTCGTAAAAGGAGGCAGAAAGTGGATAGACCTTAGCGATACACGCGAACGGCCCGACAAGCTTTGACCGCTGTAAGCCAACAAATCACCTAGGCAATCCACGGAAATCCAGACCTTCTTTTTCGGCCGTCGTTGCCGTCCGGAGTTCAGAACCTGGAGCGGGCGCGAATTGCTGACACAGTCAATGAACCTTGCAAAGCAATCTGCTACACAGCCAAAGCAAACGTTTCCCGCGAATGCCTCCACGCCACTATGCAGCCAATCCAACTCCTGCGAGCACGTGCTTCAAGCAAATTTCTTCAGAGCGTGCAACCCAAGAATCGGCAAGCCCTCAAGCTTTGTAGGCTCGGCCTTAGAAACTAGCGCTCAGTCATATGACTTTATCGAGCGTCAAGGAAAGCAGCTGAGACGCGAACCGGAAAGTCGTTCTCGTTTGTTGCAGCCTGCCAATTCCGAATTCTGATTTCTAAGCACCCGAACGACGTGACCCTACCGTGGCACCATGATGCCTGCCGTGTAATCTGACGCCGCGTTTTGGGAAGCATCTTCAAATGGCTGCGCCTGCACGATTGCGCAATCGAACAATCATGAAATTCGAAAAGATCATACCAGCATAGACCCCAAACAGCCGCAGCCTCAGCCCCTGCCTTGGACAGCGACGTAAACAGCAGGACAACAGAAAGACCAAAGGAGGACATGAGGAGGACAACAGACGACAAAAGGATGAAAGAAGGAAAACAATGTGAACACACCAAGGACAAAAGAAGGCCAAGCTGTGACCGGACAACGCCAAAAGCACAACATGACAACATGAGGGGAGCACACCAAGAGGTTGCCAAGAGGAGAACTGAGAACAGGAGTAGAAACGGACGAGGAGACAAGAGAAACCAAGAAGATGATGGGAGGAGCACGCCGGAGAAAGGCTGCCAGCCACAGCCAATGAACTCCTGAAGGACAACAAGAAGGCAATAGAAGAACATGGGGAGGACAGGACCGAAAAGACTGCGACGCGAGGAGAAGAGGGGGACATCCGGAAAGGGCTCGCCGGCGCGGCCTGACACTGTGGCCAGTGCATCTGGAGTTGTCTCTTTCAAGAGAAGGACAGGAGCAGGACAAGAGGAGGACACAGGGGTGGTCAGGGGACAACAGCAGACACGAGGAGGACAGGAGGTTGGCCAGCACGGCCAGAGGACAAGAGCAGGACAAGAGGAAAACAAGGGTTGGTGCTGGGTGGGCAACCAAGAAGACTCCTGCAAACACTTGCTCCTGGAACAGATCACTTTTGAGAATTCGACGACCGCAAAGAACGAAAACATAAAAGCGGCACAGGCAACATTCGCGGGTACAAAATTGTGGCCGCGGTGTTGATGGCCATTGAGACACCGGCCGTGATGGGAAAGGCAACAGAAAGACTAGAAACGAAAAACGTGTCTTTGCATGCGATGGTGCGTGCTGTCGGGCAAAGACAGCGAGGCAAAGCAAAGCAGGAGGTGAAGGGAGGGATCAGAAAGCGGGAGTGCCAAGGCATGGTGCACTTCTGCGAGCTGGTCCTCCGGCTCGTCTAGGCCCAGGCCGCGCGTGCAGTCCGCAAGGACCTTCTTGGCGCCGTCGCCAACGAAGTTAGAGGCCGGTAATGCGGGGATCCACACCTGCAGAAGAGAAAGGGGCAGACGACTCGAAGGCGCACCCATGGGACAGGTTGTGTGACGCCCACGGGCCTCTAAGTCACTGTACACCAAGTAGCGGAGGAAAGGGCCACGCACGTGCAGCTCGGCGAGCTAGCTCGGTCGGCTCTGTGCGGAACATCTGGTCGGCAGCCGCGTCGGAAGGTACCCTTCGGCGTGCAATGTGGGCGAGTCACGAGTCTCAAGCCGAAGCTGCGAACAAAAGTTACAAATCATGGGCGATGTCCAACACCAAACACGTTTCCCACGTTTTGGTCTCAAGTGGGAAACAAGGCAATCTTTTTTTCTGCGCGTGTCCTCGGCTCAATCCGCATCAATCCTGCCGTGCGTCAACAAGCTAGCAACAAACGATGGTCCGATGGTTGCTGGGGTCTTTGGTTTGCAGGTGAGGAAAGAATTAAGCGAATTAAGCTAGGGCTAGGATGGCAACTGAATCCAGAGCGGGCCACCTTCCATAGTTGCATAAAACCTGCGAGTGTATTAGGGTCCCTACTTCATCCTCCGCCACCTGCAGTTGCTTGGTACTGTTTGCTGCCACCTTTGCTGCAACTGCACGTACCAACCAAAGCGCAGGAGGAAGCTTCTGGCTCTCCCATAGCTTTGCTATGTTTCAAGACTCCAAAATACACACCTTAGTACCTTACCAGTGACCAGTACTCCAAAAACACACCTTGGTAAACTTATCAGTTGAATCAAAGGTCGAGGTGAACGAAAATGCAAGGCGTGAAATCCACACCATCCACGTGAGGAAATTGGGACGGATGAATCTATATGTTTAAATGCCTCGGGGCCCCCTAATGCGGGCTTGGTTGAGATGTCGAAATGTCAAGCATCAAAATTTCCCAAATGGTGGTTGATCTTATGGGGATTAGGAACCTTTGACCACCTAACTTATGGTTGATCTTGTGGTTGTTATTGTTGATCTTATTCCGAATTCAGAACCTAAGGACTTTGGCCCAGGAGGGGCCTCTGAATATTCCTCTGGCAGTGTTTGGCGACTGTCTTGGCATCCACTCCCCCATTGGAAGGATATTTCTTGTGGCATTTCGTCCATCAACTGGAGATCGCATGCCATACCCCCTGGGAGCCATTTGAGGGAAAAAAATGCTTTGGGGGGTGGGCCGACCATGTCTACCGATGCTGCGTAGAACCAAAATTGATCACCAACTAATATAAAATTATTGAAACGAATTACTGTATTATGTTCTTCATTCTAATGGCTTATGATGGTTCCATTATGTGGATTCATGTCTTACACCTCTTAGTTGGGATATTTGAAGTAATGAAGGCACGTCTGCCGATGCAAACTGCTGAAGAAAACTCCCCAGGACTGGAGACAGGAGGGATGATTCATCAACAGTCTACATGGTGCAACCATCTCACTTTAATCCCACTCCCCGAGGAATACATGGAACACTGCTACTTGTGACAAAATGCCCGTTCTGCAGGTCGAAACGCTGCTTCCCACGGAGGTTGTGGTGTCCCTCTTCGATCTCCTCCACAATCGCATGTCTTTGCACATATACTACGACAACCCTCCATGATCCTCGTTTTAAGGATCAGCACGCCTGGCCACGTTTGGAGAAAACCAGGTCAAGGACCCCACTTGACTCTCTTCTGGGATGTGATCAAGGACACTTCAACCCGTGTGATCGACCCCGTTCGACCCACGTTCCACGTCAGCCGACGGGGGATGCCGGACGTCCCGTGCGCATCGGGCAAACCAAACTCGGAGCGATCCAAAAAGAGAGAAGCTGGGACGCCCCGACACCTCCTTGCTGTTCATTCTCAGATTCTTCTTCACCTGATTTTCCTCATCCTGGCACAAGTAGGCAGAAGGAGGTGCATTCCGGAGTCCTGTGGAATTATTGAGGGGGGAGGTACAAGATGGTACAAGAATGGATTGGTGCATGTATCTTATTTGTGTGTGTGAATTGAAAGGCCATCCTGGATCGTTGTTCCTCTTACAACCATTGCCCGACCACTTAACCAAAAAGAAGTGAGCCAAATAAACAAAGGAATTGACTCCGCTTCCCAAGAGATTCCCTGCCAACGCGTTTGAAAGGTCTTGACTCTCCCATACATGGGAGAGCTGTATTCTTGAAGAGCTGTTTCAGCTTGGGGTGCTTGTATTTTGCCTGCCAACCAAGAAAAAAGCCAGTACAGGTATCTCACAGGTCTGATTTGTATCAGCCTGCGACTAATGGAGATGCATGATGAACCAAAACGAAACTTGGTTGAAAACGAGAGATGAAGCACTCAGTAAACCCGCATACATGACCACAACTCAAAAACGGGTCCGAACCATTTGTTTTGGTGAAGTGCTTTTGAGGCCACGCGACCTGACCCAAGTTGATGCGACAAAAAAAGTCTACCCCCGAGTACCATGGATCTGGCGCAATTGGGTGTTCTCCATATGAAAAATGCACCTACACCTGAGATCCGTTTCGGGGAATGTCTGGGTTTGGGGTGTGAAGCATCTCTCGGCGTCCAATGGGCTACCTCCCTCCCCTGCAGCTCTCACCAGCCAGCCTCACTCAAGGGCGGCAACAGTGGCGGCGCTGCTGCTGTAGCCTCTGTAACCTTGGCCGTCTTGACCGCTTTGGTCGCCTTGACCGCTTTGGTCGCCTTGGCCGCTTTTGTCGTTTTGACAGCATTGGTCGCCTTGACCGCTTTGGTCGCCTTGGCCACTTTTGTCGTTTTGACAGCCTTGGTCGTCTTGACTGCGTTGGTCGTCTTGACCGCCTTGGTTGTCTTGGGCGTTGCCTGACCAGGCGCGAAGTGTCGGGTTCTCACAAAGAGGCTCCGGAACCCATGGTGGTTGGGGCGAAAGTTGAATGCAAAAGTACTGCTGACTAGCCAAAAATGGACACACACCGGAGAAAAAAGACACTTCCAAAGGGATTTCTGGACGTTGAGGTTTGTGGAGGATGGTGGTGATCAAGAGTACAAATCCCGAGAAAGGTGATCAGCATTGGTAATGTTGAATGGCACTTAGCGCCTTAGCGCTCGTTCAACTCCTCTCACCTCTCACCAATCTTGGACCCAAGAGTTGCCTGTTTCTCGGAAACAAAGACCAAGATCAAGAATAGGACACTATATAAATTGGGTGGATCCTGTTTGGAACATCATCTGGCACTGAAATTGCCTAGCGGCTCTAGCGATTGTTTATTTGTGGCGATGTTGCTCATTGCTCCACACATCCTTGTGGCGGGTTCTCACTTTTACTCTGCACTCCCTTGGCCTTGTCCTCCTCCTCCTCCTCCTCCAACCTCCTCCTCCAACCTCCTCCTCCAACCTCCTCCTCCTCCTCCTCCGCTCAACTCGCACCAACTCAACTCACGCCAACCCATCTCACACCAGCGCAGCTCATCAATTACCTTGTTCCTTAGGTATAAAGCCTGGGGCTTTGATTGCTCGGACCACTCCATGACGGTGGACTTTGAGACAAGGATCCGCTTGCGGTCGCAAAGCGGAGGATCACCTGACCCAAGGCTGCCCGCTTTTGGCAACGTTGCTTTTGCTGGAGATCTTTGCTACACGGGAAACAATCATTCCAGGAAGCCTTGATCAGGATGTTCAGCTCGGTCGCCATTTTCTGTTCGAAGCCACTGGCAGAAAATGGCCCGCACCACGCCGCTTCGGCACTTCGGCTGCACGTAAGACCGGCGCAGGCGCCCGTGGAGGACCGACCGACCGCTCAGTGCGGAGAGTTGTGACAAGTCCGAGGAATTGTCATGAATTGTCATGGTAGACCAGACTGCAAAAAACGTCAACACGATCCTCTCTCGTGTGATGGCACACCCGTATACCATGTGGCATGGTGTGTTTATATGTGTTGTAAAAAATACACACACGTACTATATGCATGCATGCCGTGTAAAATAATGGCAATGTAGTCTAATGTAGTGCAATGGAAGCCTTTGCAGCGTGATTGCTTTGATGGGTGCAAATAGCGCGGTCGGGCTTCCAGCGTCCCCAGCGGTGAGAAGGTCCCTGCCCCAAGAAGGACGAACGCGGACCTCTCAGCAAGAGTGGCAGAATCAACAATACCCAAACCATGATTCTGATGTTTTCTGATGCTTCCCCTCGCTTCCCTCTACCGCTTGTCCTTCTGCTTCTTCTCCTGCTTCCTCCACCATCCCATTGCCTTTTCGAAGAGTGCCTGCCTCTGGGTGGTCTGCACTCCCTCACGTTCACACACTCACTGGTTGTCCTTGCGTTTCCTTACCTGTTCCTCGCTCTTGTGGGGACAGCAGGTTCTGCTGACGCGCTGGTTTGAACGCCGCAACAATACCGCGGCACCTTCCACGCAAGTGCATCACTCGCTGACTCACTGAAACTCCCTGGACTCCTGGACCATCTTATTTCACATCTCGCATCATCACACTCAGCCCCGCTCGCATTCCTCGTCCTTTCGCTTTTGCCGTCCCTTCTCGTGAACACAACAACTTCACGCTCGTGGTGTTCTCCGGTCCTCTAACTCCATTGTGAACATACCATGCCATGCTCCTTGTCAATTTCATAATAAATCGATGATTCTTTGCGCAACGTCTGCAGGAGGTACCTGGGGGGAAATACATCAGCTTGCATGACGAGCCAGCTTGCATGGCTGGACCTTTCTGAGCATCTTGGCTTGGAATATTCCCAAGCCGTTGAAGTTGCAGCAAAATGAGAGGAAGAAGAAGAAGAAGAAAACATTGCACCTGAAGTGCTTCGCTTTCCCGAACACGCGTTCCAAGTACTGGTGACTGGTGCGATTTTAGGGCAGAAACAGCTTTGCTGTTCAACTTCTTTGGTTGTCAACAAGGGATTTACCAGGTGAACTTGCTGTCCCAACACAGGGTCAACCATTTGCCAATCACCAAACAAGCACTCTCTGTCAAACGAGATTGGCATCCGTGTGGACCCTGCTTCCCACTCACAGTGTCACATCCATCTGGTCCTTCCCCTTCTTTTGGCCCAACACCCTGCGTTCAAGCCTTGAGTTGACATCTGCTCGCCCTGCGATGTGATGCACGGCACTTGTTCTGCTTCTTTGCCCCAGAAACGGGAGGAATGCTTGGATTTGCGGAACGGGAACCTCCAGAAAAAGAGCCATCTAAGGTGGAAGAAAAACCCGTTTAAAAGGAGAACTTGAGACCTCCCCACAGAACCGCAAGCGGTGCCCCATGGACCAAACTGCAAAAGGAAACAAGCGACCCGGCGACCCGTTTCGATGGCGACCCGCTTCCGGGTGCGACCCAGCGACTCCAGGTCGTGCTTCAGCCAACGAAAGCAGCCCGTTGTTTCAGGGGATCCAAAAAGGATCCAATGAAGAGTGATGTTGGATGGATTTGCATCAATTTGGAGGTTTGGAAGAAAGAAGGAAGGCACTGGATCTGCCAATCGGGTCAACAAGCACGGTTTGAGACTTGGGCATTTTTTGAGCCCTCAGGTTGTTTTCAGGATTTCACTCTCAAACATACTGACATGTGTTCTTTGTCTGAAAATGATCGAATAGGAAACGGTGGCAAAGTGGAGGGAAATGACTTGAAGCTGGGTAGTGTGCCGTTTCTGCAGGGGAGTTCCAAATTGATCTCTGACTACCTGTCAGCGGGAAATGAACCATTAGAAGTTTTGGGAGAAAACAAGACTTACCAGGGTTTTAGTGATTGGCTTTTCATCTACATCAACCTATAGTGGTCCTCAAATAGATAGAAACAATTTCCAATACATCTTGAAAGGGGTTTTACTTTTCTATCTATTTGGGGGTCTATATAAGCCCTCCCACTGTGGAAGAATTCAAGACCTACGCGCAAAGTCAATTGGCCTTCGCTGAGCAGCTCTCTTCGCGAGGCCTTGCGCGCAAACCCGGAAACCGGTGTCTTGGTTTCCAACAGGGTAGCCGTGGAGGTGTGTGTATAATTCGACAAAAAAACATGTTATCAAACCCATGTTTTACTGCTTTTGTTGTTCAAATATGGTCAAACGAGTGAATTCCAACTGTGAGCTATGAATTCACTCGGCACGAGTTTGGACCCTCGCGCGTCTGCGCCAACACAAGAAGAGTCAGGACTCGTCTCACTCGTCTCACTCATCGCGACGAAGACCTGGTGAGGTGACTCCACGGAGCGCGTCCGGAGCCTTCGGCGGAACAGTGGGGAGCGCCGCGCCCAGTCCCTTCGTTCCCGAACCTTCCCAGTCCCACGCCTGAACACACGCCGCCAGCGCAAAGCAAAGCCTCTGGCCAGTCATGCTACTGGGATGGTCAAAAATGACCTAGCCATACCAGGAGTCATGAACTGGAGCATAGTGATCGTTTTTGCTGGGGCACCGGCTCAAAAACCAGCCCATCTAGTAGTCAGACTGCGCCACACCACACAATATTGTATACTTGGGACTCTCAGCACACCCCAACCAGACAGTTTGATGATCATAATCTAAACACCCCGACTATTTTTCTCCCATGATCGTCAAAACACATGGCGAGTGGTGTAACTACTGTCAGATTGGTTATATATTCGGGATGGGACAAGGAGAAAAACTCCGGTTGAATATCCCGACCCGCTGGGTCTGGGGAATGACGGGGCCGAGCATCCTGGGCCGAAGGGAGGTCTGCAAAAAGAGGCCAAAGGCGCCAGACTGGCAAATCTTCAGAAATCCGCCGACCCCAGGGCGATGAACGTTAGCGTGTCGGTGTGCGGGGCCGGCGTGTTGCTGAGAGGGGCTCGGGTGAGCGCTGGGCAATGTCGGCTGTGCCAAAAAAATTGACAAGTCTGTAAATTCTTGAATTTTTGCTGACCGTCGAGATTCTTTCTTCCCCGGAAGAGCATTGCTCAGGATATGGCCTGGGGCTCAAGTCCTCCGGCCCCCTTTGGATTCAAGCATGGGCCATTTCAAGAGAAGGAAACATGGTTTTCGCGCCAGGTTTACATGTGATGGATCAAGGCAAACGCAGTCGCCAGACTGGATTGCTTTGAAGAATGGAACTACACATGGTATACAGGAAAGTGGTAAGGGAATTCAAGTAGACTTGACCATGGAAATACATGAAGCATTATCTCTGTATAAAATATCAGGTGCACAACATGGTACATCTGGCAGTTTTTTGAGCTTTATCTATTCCATGATAATATTCATGGTTTCCATTTACAGCATACATTCCATTTTCTGGTTTTTCTGAAAGAAAAACTGTTTACCGTTTTCTATGTCTAAAATCTGTCCATCAAAAAGATCTCCGGTATTCGTTGGCATATATAAGTTACAGCAGTAACCTGGATAGGGTTTGTAGCCCGGAGGAAAGTTGATATTGAAAAACAGTCATGGACTTCAATCATACTAATTTCTTCCCTTGGATTTGTTGTGCCAGCTTCATTATATGCCATGGTACTACATTTTGATGTTGTCTCAAAAATATCGCCATCCGAATCATTATAGCCCATTTTTCCCCACTGTTCAATGCAACTTGTAATGTTTTTACCGATATAATGACCTTATGAAAAATAACAACAACTATAGCCATGGAACAATCACAGCAGTATCTATGGGCAGCTTATGATGCAACACAACTTGCTATGACGCTCATTTATTCAGATGTTGTCTGTTTTGCAAAATGAAAATATTAAACTGCTACGTATTCCCCTGTATGATTCACTTGCAGTAGATTTCCGTGAATCTATGGTAATCATTTCAGGCGTTACACCTTTTGTTTCATCCCGTTCCCCATCTGCAATGCCTTGTGCGTGGTCCTGGGTCCCGGGTCCCCCGTGCGATGCTAAAAAGACTCAAGTAAAATTGATGTTTTATCATAGCTCTAAAACTGAAAAATTAGAACACACACAACACAACACAAACAAACCCAACCAAGCTGAACCAAGCCCAGCAAGGCCAAGCCAAGCCAAGCCAGCCAGCCAGCCAACAAACAAACAAAACAAAACACACACTCTGACATTGGTTTCAGTTAATCTATTCCCAAGTGGAAAAAGGTGAGGGAACGGAAAGGTGCATGAGTCCGCAAAACAGTATTGTTTAACAGAAGGTTACGCGTGACTGCAGAACACTAGTTACTGAATACTTGGCAGACCTAGGAAAGGAAAGAGTGAGCCGAAAGGCGAAAAGGCCGAGTACTTGAACGTGTTTTAACAAAGGTTGACGAGTGACTGCAGAAAACTAGTTACTGATTACTTAGCAGACTGAATTCACGCCGTGCAAGGAAACCTGTTTTGGGGATATCATGCGAAGAACCACCATGGAAACAAACCAACAGCGGCAAGGGAAACCAGTGGAGTCATTGCGTTCGATGCAGGTACACAATGAAACGTCCTCCACTGCTTCAGCACCAACCGATACCCTCTTCGTTGGACGGGCAGTATCGGTGGTGACCCGTCCCCCTGCGTATTAAAACTCTTGGAAGCAGAGTGTGACACACACACACACAGACTTGAGATTTAGATAGATTTAGCACGTACGGGCTGAATGCGCCACTTCCCATGAGCGCCTGAGTAAAAAAAGTCCCTGAGTAAAATAGGCTCCTATGCGTAAGTACAAATCCCAGTCTACAATTGACACTGTTTAGGTACGTAAGATTTCGACACCGGCAGACATCGATTGTTGATTGCTCGTGAGTTTATCGTCATTGAATTTGGAGTTTATGGACTTTGGGGAAATTTGAAAAGTTGAGACTTTTGGTGGATGCCTTATCCTCGAACTTCTTTTGAACTTTGGCAGCTAAATCCCACAACTATCAGCAGGTACACGGAGGTGATCAGTCTCCGCTTCCCCCATCGTGGAAAGCTTTGTTGGCATAGGTATCCACAATGGGGTTTGTGGTTCATCGTGAACATGGCTAGAAGCAATCTCGGCTTCAGAGGCATTTGATCCTTCAACTGGTTATTTCCTTTAGCAATCAAACTCTCACACGCTGCGTCACAGGTCTTTAGATTACAAACTATGTTCGATTCAACAAACTTTGCATCGCGGGAATTTGCAAATCAAGGCCCCAAGCACATGATTCTCACTTGGACCTCAGGGAAGATTGAGACGCGTTGCAGCTACTCTATACCAGAGCTATCCGGCATCATCGTCGTCTCCGCAAAAGGAAGAAATCATTTCAGGGAGAGCCACTCACTTGGCCAGAAAAAAAAGGCAGGAGCAAATGCTTTGGATTGAGCCTGAGAGAGCATTTGAGCAACATCCTGCGTATTTGCAGCGCCTTCGGCTTTCTTGCTTTCCTCCTTGGCCAACAATGATGCCACGCTTGTCTGATAGTTCTCCGCGCACCTATTCTATACCCATTTTGATCCTCCATGAGTAGTCAGTCGATGTCCTCCGCTGTCAACTGACAGGATACGGAGTGTGTATGCAAGCGTATTTCTTCCAAACATCGCGGCTCTCATTGAACGACGGATGTCGAGTTGCAATTCTGACAGAATTGCTGTCGCCATTCAAGCCTGTATTGAACCGAAGTGCATTGTTTCCATTGATTCTGTTCACCACAGCAGTGATGAGGGCGAGCACCAAAGGAATCACATCGCTCATCTCCATCAAAGAAGTACCCTCAAAATGAATCAACAAGAGTTCCCCCACCAAAATGGAAGTCAAAAGACAGCCTGTGAATCCATGCCGCTGCACAAACGGACACAGACAGAGACAGGCAGCCAGGCAGAGACAGAGAGACAAACAGACAGAGAGAGAGAGAGAGAGCCTAGTAGCTAGTAGCGGTGGCCTCCAACCTAGAAGCAATGGCCTCCAACCCATTAGGGATGGCCTGCAACCCAATAGGAATGGCCTCCAACAAGTCTCCCAACATCTTCTGGGCCTTTTCCGATCCGACGGCTCCCTCCAAGGCTTCGGGCTCCCAGTGCCCCAACACTGGCCACCTGCGCACGTGCGATGCGAGTCCAGGACACGCACGTGCTCGTTGAATGGCACGCATTCCGTGGCTCTCGTCGTTGAACGGTACGTCTTTTTGGAGGCGTTTCGAGGATCTGAACCGGTGTGAAGGATCTGATCTGGCTGTGTCGAAGGAACTTTGGGAGATAGATGATAGACGGGGGGTGAGTTCGGCGGCCTGGATGGTGAAAACAGGAGTGTTTCGGGCAGTGTTCGGGATGCAAATAGATGATCTCGGCATGCTCGATATATGAACCCTCAGTATGCAGATCTGGGCCACCTCTGAAAAAGGACCCCAGTAGCATGGCTTGTCAAAAAACATGGTCCCCAACAAGACTCCATTGCAAAAAGAGCAAGCTGAGGGGCTGCATGGGCTAGGTATGTGGAGGAAACCAAAGACTTCCCAAAAGCGTAGAAGATCCCAACTCCAAGAGCCGTATGTTTTGTGTTTTTCATTCCGGTCCGAATGCATGGGTTGAAACCAAAACCTTTCAGATGCTCTCCTTTCAGAGAAACCGCACCGCGTGGGCTGCACCTCCCACCGGCCGCGAGGAGAAAGCAGCGAGGAACGCCCAACCGGCCTCCCAGCGTCGCACGAAAGGGTCCCTGCGACGCTAGAGACCCTCCGGTGAACGAAGATGGTCACTGAAAACGAAACAGTTTGCTAAAGAAACATCCTCTTACAAGGGTCGATGATCAGGGTCCATGTTGGGAAGAGTGTGGGTGACCTCTGTCAGTGACAAGGGGAGGGTGGCTCAGCCTTGGGACCATGAGAATTTGTGAAACGAGAGTCTCGGGGTGTTTTTCAGGACACAAACACGGTCACTGGGTGCCTCAAAAGCCGTGCTCCCCTTTGGCCAACAGCCACATACTCTCCCTTCTTGACCGTCGCCGGATCTGGTCGAATGTTGACCAACAGGGATTCAAGGCTGAAAGGGAAAAAGGACTGAAACCAAAAGAGTCGCACTGCGTCCTTCCTTGAAAGGGAACTATCGAGTGCACGACTGTCGGTCGGAGTGTGAATTCACACGCGTTCAGCCGGCTGTGGCGGGGAGCAGCAGCTGTGGGACGAAAAATCATCTGAACATGGAGCAACAGTCGGTGCTTTCCCCAAATGGGGTCGGTGAGCTTATGGACAACGTTCACTTCCAGTTGAGCTCAACTACTGGTGCCAAAACCTTCCCAGCTTCCTCCATCTCGTCTCAAATGACTTGCCTCCCCGGTGGGGGACATAATAAGCGGCCAGGCACTCGGCTGCGGCGCGCTGCGCTTCCAACAGCAGAGATGCCAGGCCCTGACTGATTTTCATCACATGAGTGCAAGATTTGTAGGTTTTGCCTTCTGCCAATGGGTGTTTTGGAGCCAAATGCTCCGTTTCGGAGTTGGCCATGTATCTTGGGACTTCAGGTGGAGGATTCCTTTCTAAAACACCACCTGTGTGTGTGCTTGGATTCACGTTCCTCCCGATTCCGGGAGCCATTTCATGGATGGGCCGCCTCAAAAAGCAAAAACACAACGCATAGACTTGGAACTGTGCCTGTCGGAACAGCAGTGTGTCGACCCTGATCTGCTTGCCATCCCCCGTCTATCCAATCCAGTTCCACCCTCTTCTCCCAGCCAACATGGTTTGCACAGGAACCGGATCTGGACGAGACTGTGGCCTCAGTGTCAGACCTGAATCAGTCGACCTCAGTGCCCAAAAGGAAGGTCGTTTTTCGTGGCGCCATCGAGCCCCCAACGTCGAGCGTCGCGTGCGCTCCGCTGAGCGGAAGCGAAACCCTGAAAGCGAGCGACCGCCTGTCCAGCAGTGCATGGCACCAAAATTGGGCCCAGAGGCCTCCCCCTAAATCCAGCCACTCTGGAGGATGAAATGACATAATGTCCCCATTGCTTCCTGATGGGATTGACTGGCCGTATTTTTCTGGGGTTCTATCATTGTATCTGATTTACTCCCTTTGTGGTTCGCTGAATCCAGTCTTGTTTCTATAAGGAGATGATATGACCATGTTTTGGGGTGGTGTTCTTCTTGTTTCGCGGTCATTTCTGGTGACTCCATGTCTTTCTGGTCTGCTTCCTGCGACCCACCAGGGGTCTTTAGAGCCGCCCATCTCCCACATCTCCGGAGGCCTCTCGAGCCCACAACGGAGCGGCCGGCGAGTGAGCGGCGCTTTTCGCCCAGTGGTTAAAGTGGAGTGAGTGAACACCACTGGTTTGGTCATCGGATTGCATGGTCAAACCTGCCATCCACCTAAGCATGATGTTTGTCAGGCAGTGTAGACTGTTTGAGATATTTCAACTCCCCATTTCTGGGGGGGTTTGTTATAATGATCAATAAGAGTCTACACCAGGGAGCTGCCGAGGGTGGTCGACTTCACAGATACCCAGACGCTCCTGGGCCCGAATCCGGGACCGGTGTTGATGGACCGGTCGCGCTGTGAACGGAGCGGTGAACGGTGCACGAACTCCCCGAACCCCCTCTGAAGGTGCGGTGAAGGGCCGGACATGGGTGCCGCGCGCACGTCACGTCTTTTGCGCTAGTTGAGCGGGAAAGCAGTCCAGTTGTTCCGAATTCGGTGGAAGAATGTCAACTCTTCCGTTTCCATCCGTTTCCCATTCGGGGATCCCGCAGACACTTTCTTGCCCCTCCAAACCCAAGTTCCAGGTCTCCTTTCAAAGGTCTCCTGCTCAAAAGCCAAAGTCTCCATGGCACATGCTACCCCGTGCGCGGCCCCTTTGAGGGTTTAGGCACACACACCCCAAAAGGAAGGGCAGAAGAGCAAAGAAATCACTGCAGCCGGAGTCACATGTGTGTGCAGCCTGGACCTCCCATCCAGTGGATCATTGGGTCCCCTTTGTGACTGCGACCCGGACCTCGGAGGGAGTCCGTCCCGGAGTCCCGGGGGTCCTTCGCACATGGAAAGAGAGACCCTCCAACCGACCTTGACTCACCCCTCCCAGCCCTTCCAGGTGCGGGATACTGGATAGAAGAAAGAACCAAATGTGGTCATCTCCACGACTCTACGACCTACTTTCTTGAGGGGCGAGACCCTGATGCTCATACCCGCAAGCGGGTCAAGTCTCTAAAGACATCATCTCCTCCCATCCAACTCAAATCCCAACACAGGTTTAGTCCACCTCTGTTCACACCAAATCCTGTCCCACGTGTTCTCCTATACCCGTTCTTCACACCTCCCAGAATCGCCCAGGGGGTTCACCTCTTCGATCGACTTCTCCTGGCGAACGGAGAGGAAGCAGCAACAACTCGCGGCTCGTGTTTCGACAGACTTGAGGCGAAAGAACGACTCGGGGCTCGAACGTCAACCTACCACTGAGGATGCAGAATGCCTTGCAAAGCTAACGAAGTTGCCTTCATGGGCTTGATGAAAGATTGCTTTGCAGGCTGACTGAAGTGGTAGACTTATCTGCCTTGAGTGTCGCACAATTTGAGCAATGACTGCGATTGTCACTCCATGATGTCAAACTGCCTATGGGAGAAAAGCCCGTGAGAAAGCGAACCGATCTTGGAAGACGTGAAAAAAGGGGAATTCTGGGAGTCTGGGAGGCCACCAAATTCAAGGGGAGGTCGTTACCGAGGCGGAGGCGAAAACAGGATCATGTACCGGGATCCTCCGTTCGAGGTGGGCACTCTTCTTTAGAGGTCCAGTCTAGTAGTTGGCTGGGTCGTCTATGGGTGACCAAGGTTGATGATCCAGGTGTTCCTTCCAATCCGATGTATCCCACTAGTATGACATCAGGAAGAATGCATGCGGCATATCGACTAAACCAAGGTGATTCTCAATTTCAACAATTTGGGTACTCACTGAATCAATCTTGACGTTGAGGGAACTCAAGTCTATCATATGACATCTGCATATGCATATGTCTGCATGGTTTCAAGCTTGTCAAAGTTTTCTTCGGAAAGATTGTCTTTGTCTCAGCATGCAAAAGAACGTAAAAAGGAACAGCTTGCAAGCCCTGTCGAAACTATTCCCGACAACTCTACAGCAAGTGGTGTTTCTGGTTGCTGAGAAATACAACCACAAGACTAGAATGCCAGATGATCCTACTTTTTTGCAATATGTGGTCCGGGTCCAACATCTAGTGTTGCAGATCGGTTTCTCACCCAGGTGGTAGCTCAGCCCCCAAAACGCTGTTTGGAGACATGTTGAAGGTTCAAACTGTTCTAAGAACTGCGCACACATGCAAGCTTTCCAAAAGTACCCAACATCGTGGAGCTCTCCAAAATCGGCATCCAAGAAGCAATGAAAAAAAAACATACATCAATGAAAACACTCTTTTCCTGCAATCGAGAAATTCGAGAAATTCGCCCATGGTTTTCAGGGCTGGAACTGGCTTGCCCTCAAGCTGGGCTGGATGTGGCAAATGTGGCTCAAAAGAAATCGCATGGACACACAGGTTTGAGATGGCTTGAGTGTGTTAGCTATTCTTTTGCAGCGGGCTTGGATGGTACAAGTACCCTGTTTTTTGAGCCATGGCCAAAGTCTGACTCGACGTGTTTCCTTTAGTAAACAGCTCTGAAGCTACGTGCTCTGACTTAGTTCATGTGACACTTGAAACTTTGAGGTGAGGGTTACATTCTGCATCACTCTGCCATGCAATGGCATGAAGAGAATGATACCCCCTTTAGCCACTGTACAATACGGAACAGGTGCAGCCTCTAATTAACCAAGCTACTGAAATCTAGAATGACCACGCCCTCGCTTCGGAATCTTTTTTGAAGGCCATCGGCTCGGCACCATCCTCATTGGCGCTCGGGCCTGTTGTAGTGAATCAGTAACTGGACCTGCCTCAAGCAGTGTGACCTGCAGCTTGCAGCGTTTGAGAGCCATGAGGTCCATCAGAGTCTTCATGGAGTAGAGGGGCACATGGATCTCCTCAAAGGAAACCCTATCAATCTGTTGGACCCCGAAGATCTGGAGCAACACTCCGAGCTGTTCGTCCAAGTGCATCGGCACTGGGCTCAAGGCCACGATCCATCTATATGGGCACTGGGGGCTCTCGCCAGAGATCCATCTCACGAGTCCCTGACAGCTTGGCCTCACCAAGGCATCCCGGAAGAGCATGGTTCTTGCGGCAAACATCAGCGCTGCACAGCTGTCTAGGTCGTTCATGATCGCCAGGAGCTGCTGCAGCTGATGACGAACACAGCAAACAGGCATTACCCTCCTAGTGCTGTGCAAACCGTCGCGCGAGTCTTACAGAGCTTGAGCCAAACTCGTTCCGACTCTGGCTCTGAACGGACTTCATTTGGGTTTTAGAGGCGAGGACTGAGGGAGACTGCTTTTCTTTATCAGTTCACGAGCAGCTCCACGGTTTGGAAACCGAATCTAGTGAGAAGATGCCAGATCTACTCCTCCGTGCACACTGAGTTCATCTACCCACCCTACTGTAACGGGGGAGCACCAAACCCCCGGCATTGGGGGAGGCCAGATCTGCGCGTGCCTGTTCCACGTCCGGACATCCGAAAGGGGTCCGACATCCGACGCGAATCGAACGACACCGACGTGGTTCTTCCGTCGGACGTGGTGCGAACGTGGGTGGCGACACTTCCCTTATTCCCCTACTAAGCCACCACCAAGCACCAGTCAAGTCGTTTTGGAAGAATGGCGTGGCCATTCCTGAGCGTCCTGGGTGGTCAGTGTACCCAGTTCACCGGGGGAATCGTCGCTGCGGTATCGAGTCGTTGAACCGACTCGGCGGTTCACCACCGATGGAGGGTGAAAAGGTTGAAGCGACTTTGTCCAAACTAGCAGACCCAGTGCATCCAGGTACCACTAGTAGTAAGGAACCAGGGATTCTAGGTTTATGGCTTTAGTCTTTGGAACCACTGGTTACCAGCTATAGTTACTATAGTGGTAACTGGATGCCCTAGGATAGGCTTCATCTTGGGCTTTCTGACACATACCCCTGAATTTCTGCGGGTCTTAGGGGAGCCAATGGTTCAGTCCGGCGATCCTGTGCGAAGAAGACAAACGTGACATCGAAGAAAGTAAAATCCATCCCAGGTTGCGTAACGGTCTCTGAAGCTGAAAGTGGTGAAAACCATGGGGAAAACCCACTTCAAACACCCTCCAGTTCCGTCGAGTCGCTGGCACACTCCGAATCAGTTTCGTGTGAGTGAGTGACTTCACCACCTCTTTTGGTCAGACCGGAGACCGAGTTTGGTCCCAGGCGTCGGGCGATGTCCCGTGACCAGCGACCCAGCCCCTAGCGATGGCCTCCAACCTGATTATTCCAGCGAGTGTGGAGTCCAATGATTTTCCCAGTTTCGCTCGCAAGCGCAAACCGAAGTACCGACATGTACCCACTCGACATCACCAGCACCGACCCCCTCACACCTTGGGCTCGCAACCGTTGCTCCAACCCACGCCTCGCAACACGCAACGCATCGGTTCTTGGCTTTGCGCCCGCCGTACGCGTGAGCACGTGCTGGGGGCTGAAGTGATCGTTGGACGTTGTTGGAGTGGTCGTGGAGGACAGGGCCAATGTGGCTGGCGAAATTGCTCACAGTAGGCGGTCGGAATTCTTTTAAATGGCCACACTCACTTAGATCATGCTCGCTGCAGTTGGGGGGGGTTACACCGTTCTCATTAGGACATTTGGAGTCAAAACAATACCCCCACCCTCCAAAGACCATGATCAACAATGGTTGCCCTGGTTTTGTAGTGTAAAATCCTTAGTAACACAATAATGGTCTGGCAAAGACCCTTAAAGCAATTGTTGCAATCCCCAAAAAGACGTCAATGCACCGGGGGCCCGGGGCCCCGGCGATCGATCTGAATGCGAATGAAGCAGCACCCAGAGGCTTCCGTTCAAAGCTCTACTTCCGATCACCTCGAAACGATCGGGAGGTGTGAGAAACCCCGAGAAGCCCTGAACCGACCATGACCGCTTCTTCCGGTGTCCTTTGAGATGATTCGGGCGCGAAGATTTGGGAAGAAAAGGTGGATTTCAAGGACTCTTCAGTCATCGAATGAAGTCACCAACCTCCCACTTTTGAAGACGCTCTAGTGAAAACACGTGAAAGACCAAACACAACATGACCACTTTCCAGAACTGAAAGCAGCGGGTCAAGGACTTTTGAGATACAGGTGCAGTCCTCGAAGAGCCGAAAAGAACTGCTGCCTCAGAACCAACAGGCTTCTCAGACCCCAAAAGAATGAACACAACACAACAGGCTTCTCCTTCGCCTCTTCACCCCCCCAGGCGCCTCGCAGCAACTTCGGCCCCATTCGCCGCCGCGGCGAACACGGCTGCCCCGCCGGCCGCCGGCGCCGGGCGGCGGCGACCTCCGAGCGCAGGCGCGCGGCGTCGCCGTTCACGGCGGCAGCGCCCAGGGCCTAGCGGTGGACTGGGGTGGATGAGGAGGGTCCAGGGTCTGCATCAGAACAGAGAAGTGGGCCTGGGTCAGCATCCCATGAAAATGATTCAACTGCCTAGTTCATCCGGCGACCGATTCCTCAAGTCAAGCCACTGATTTCGTGTTACTGCCAGGCACCGCAAGGGTATCGCAAGGGTACCGCAAGGGTACCACAGCGTTGAGTTCCCAAGTGGGTCAGAATTTCAGGTTTTGCTACGGGCCTCGAGTTTGATCCAAAAGGTCCTGGGGTGTGCAGCGCTATCTTCTCCAACCATTCCATAGCAATACAGGGCACTTCTTCCATTTTGAGGTATGTTTCATGTGAGAGTGTTGCCGTTCTACACTCTTCGGTGGTTGCCGCACAAAACAGGTTCCGTCATTGATCAAGCCACCTACCATGTTTTCCAGTAGTACGTTTGTCCTGGTTCCCTGCACCAAAACATATCTTCCGCACTCCAGCAGTGACGTCTCTCCCAAACCGTTCAACGTTGGTCACGGTGACCTATTGAACGGGGGGTTCGGTGGCCAAAAAATGAGTATGAGCTTTGAGAGAGAACATGATGTGGTTTACTGTATACTTCAGCTCATTCACTTGGTTTGCCCCACTACTCTAGCTGGATTTTGGTTTCCTGTGTTGGTGCCATCCACATTCAACCCAACGGGTCCTGCATTGAAAATGGCCCTGGAAAAAAAAACACCCGTGCTTTGCTGGACTTGATCTTGAAAGAACCCAAAATGCTCTGTTTCTCGCCCACCGACTCGCTGAACGGGCTGATTTGGCTTCCTGCGTCTCCTTTCGAAAGGGTCATCCAAGTATGCGTTTCCCTTCGGTCATCCTCAAGTAAAGCACCAGCATCGAATGGTAAGAAAGAGACTTTCATGGTTGGACTTTTGAATTTCTATCCACCAAAGTAGTCCAAATGGACTTTCACTGCGCAACTCAATAATATAATTTCGTTCAGTTTCACATCTTTTTCACTTCTTTTCCTTCCGCCTCCATGTCTTTTCCGCATGCCCGGCTTCGCCGCAATGGCACACGCCAAGGAAGGAAGTTTACTAGGTGGACATGAGGCAGCGCTTCGCTTCAGCTTCGAGAAACTGAACTGTTCACACCGTTCACCCAGAAATCCGACCAGGGGGCTTTGGCCTTCAGGCTGTCCAACAAGAGTTGCTTATATGGAATGTCCTCAATGTATCGAACCATGGGCGAACAAATCTCCTCAGCACCGGGATCACGGCTGCACTCCCAGGCCCCCAGGTTTGCGCCAGCGCCTGTCGGATGCATAAGTCATTGGGTGGAGATGGTTGGGATGTGGGACGTGGGATATGAGTACATTGGCGACGCTTTAAACGTGACAAGTTCACGCAGAGGTTGGAGACAAGCAACGCAACTTCGCGAGAACCAGCTGCACTGCCCTGGCGGACACCTTCTTTGGTGCATGCATGGCTACGCGCGCCAGAGGCTCAGCCTTATAGAGCCCTCTTCAAGTCAGCCGGGTCCTGCTACCAACTGGCATGTCAAGCATTGTGGAGAGGGTTGAGGTGTGGCCGATATCGCCCCCGGCCAGAACTCAATAAGACTTCCAAATTCAATACACGAAATGTGCAACGTCAGGTATGCCCGGCGCCGAAACTTTACACATGAGATGCTAGGGTGGTCGGAAGCCACATCAACTGGCTCAAATATTGGAGAGTCTTTCATTGCGACCGACTGCCAAGCAGATGTTGATTTGGATCCTATCCTTTTGCACTTGGAAACAAGGAAACGACATACTTTCAGCCAGGGGATTGGTATCAGTATGGGGTTGGTTGGGCCCTGCCGGTTGGTCAGAACTCTAAAAGTAGCTCTCATCCAAATTACACGCACCGAAGTTTTGTCGGACGCAAATTTCTCTGGAGAACAGTGGCCTGCAGCTGGGGCGTGGGCAGCGCCATGCAAAGGCCCTGCATGGCCGCATCTTTCCATCCCGTGGGATTCACATTCGCTGTTGCGCTTTGACGGTATACACCCTAGCTCATCCCTTTAACTGCACGGATGGGGTCGTGGCCCGCCTGTCCGCCTCGTGCTGCACCCGACGAATGAGCGGTGCATCATAGCTACTATTCAAACTCGTAAAATTCCACCGCAATGGGTCCCAGAGTGCCAAAAAAAATCATTGGCAGCGCCCTGCAGACCTCGCCAGACCTGATCTGGGGTAGATGTTCGGGCAGCTGTGTGTTCAGTAGGTTGCCACGAGCAAGCTCTCCCCATCTCACGGACCTTCGACCTCTGCGAGCAGCTTGTTCTTGCTGCCTCCTAAGCTTCCTCGCAGCGTGTCTCGTTGGCATGACCCATAAAATTATCACTGGTCGCTTGACCTGTTTGCTGATCTTCGGGCACGGTCGGCATAGCTGAAGCTGTGCCTTGGTTGGCTGAATAAGCCTCCTCGTCAACTTGTGTCTATGAGTTCATGGATGAGGTATCATCCCTATTTGATGAAGCATTGCAGAGCTGTCTGTGGAGAGCGTCAGGCAAGGCCTTTTGAGGAGCCTTCCTCAAAACCAGAGGGGCTTTGCCTTGAGCCGCCCCTGATGAAGGAGCTTTGCTTTGAGCAACTCCAGCAGCTCCAGAGTCCGCCATGAATGAGCGATCCCAGGCCCCATGCTTTTGAACATTTTTTTGAACGCTTGGCGATCGCTCTAGCCAAAATGGCATACGAGAGGGAAAACTTCGAGCGAGATCGAAAGAGAAAGAAGCATGACTGAACAGTTGCAATGCGAGTGTGTATTCAGGTTCCTACTAACCACCCGATAACCTGGCAACAAAACGGCTCTAGACCAGTAGCCCACACAAAGCAACCGGCGGGCCCTTTTTCGCAACAAGAAACTTAGCCCATTACACCTTGTGTTTGCGCAAAAACTAAGGAATACAGTTGCAGAATTTGCAGATGAAATTTGTGTGAATCCCACTCAAGTCGAAGCTCTCTGCCACCCCTCGGGGGTGAAACCTGTCACTGACGCCAGGACATTGCCGATCAACCTGAACAAATGCGCAGCGAGCGCAGCGACTTCGCGTCGCGCGCGCGAGACGCGACTGACTGGGTTTAGATGGTTTCATGGCACCGCGAGACCAAGCGGTTGACTCACCAAAAACAGACTTGAACTGCCTGGGACATGCCATGCTCGGACAGAACTGTGTCTTTGGACAGCAGTCTAGCAGTCTTCTGATGTGCAATGACACCCACTTCGGACTGGCCGGAAGAGCAGGGAATGTGACGAATGATCTTCAAGTGCCCTGGCTGATACCCACCTGCCAAACTTTGGAGGTTTCATCTTCCAGACCTCAAATCCTTTCTACAGAATTCAAGGAAAAGTAGAAACCATGCACAGTTGCTTCATTCAGACCCCCAAGTGATCGTATCGAGCTTTCACCAATATGAAAAGCCAGGCAAGTCCACCAACATTTAGAGAGCGCAACTGCCAAAGCGGAACTCCAATGCTCTCCTTCCATAATGGCCCATGTCCCGTGTGTCTCCGTCCCCCGCATCCACATACGTAGCCGGCTGTTGCAAGAAAACTCACTGTGAAATCTTTGTTGTCTGACCTTTGTTGTCTGGATGGTCCTCCAAGTCACTTATTGGGGTCAAGTTGGCTGACCTGTTCATGTCCGAATGTCCATATGGGCACCTGCTTGAGCAACTGACTGCTCGAGGCGTTCGGTCTTCTCATGTTTTAGTTCATTCGACGGACCAGATCGCGCGATCTTGGACAAGCCCCATGACATGCCAGATGAAGATTCCAAGGCTCAGTTCAGTCATTGGTTCTTCCCCGAACCCAAAATGCCTCCAACCCACCAACGAACCGAACCATCAAAATTCGCTGGAACATGCTTCGCCGCAAGCCACGCCGCGCGTGTGCCGCCGTCTGCGCGTGTCGCACCGCCGTCTCCCCGGGCCGCCCGGGCTGGGAGAGGCCTCGGCTTCGCTCTGGAACGGAGCTCCGATGGCTCAAACCCCATGCGCCCCCGATGTCGGAGTCTCCGAGTGGAACGCATCAGTCGGACGGAGCCGTCATCAGTCGATGATCGTGAGGTTGGACTGGTGTTTGACCCGTCGAACTCGGACAAGAAGGGACCAAAAAGAGAGAATCCGGATGCAATTGGTTTAACAGGCCATTTCTGCTTGAACAAGCCTTCAAGTGGACAAATTTGTTTGGAACTAGACTATCATCACTACCTACCAGAATTGCATGAGCACCGGGCAAGCTAACCTGGTATGTGGTGAAGCACATGAGTTTAAACGCCAACAAACCGAGAGCCCCCTTCTCCTTTCCGAGAACCTGGGATGACCAAATATTTGGAACTTCTGGGCCCAGAATTTATACATATTGACACGAATATAAATGGTGTCCTTTTCACATTCTGTTTTCACATCCTGTTCATGTCCCTTCCTAAGAATCATATCTGTAACTTTTACGCTGGGAGTCCAAGACTATGTTTAAAAGGGTCTTTAGGGTCTTTAAGTGATCCCTAAAAATAGACTTCCTTTACTTCAGTGGAGCAAAGTATAGTCTATGGTTCATACATTATATACATGTCCAGACGGTACGAAGTTGCAGAACCAGTGTTCAACACAAAGGGCATGTTATTCCCCCTTACACCCCTCCCGCCGACCCTTCCCCAAAAGAAGCCCCAAAACCCCTCGCTCGACCTGAGTCTCCCGAAAAAGGAAAGAAAACCGCTTTCTGTCGACTCTTGGATTCATAGTTCGAGTCGTTCGTCCAAACTCGCTCGCTCGCGTGATGAACGCATAGTTCACTTTGTGCCCCCCACCGGCGGTGACTCGGGCGCCTCGGTCCTGGAGGGAGGTTTTGATCCCCACGGTCCACAGGTGGAAGATGGAGGAAAAGTGAGACAGTGAGAGTGACCGAAAGTGATACATGAAAGCGTTGTTGGTGGCTGTTGGATTGGTGAGTCTGGTTCTAAACATCCAAAACCGACCC